AACGACCGTCCTTGATCAGGAGCAAGAGGTACAGAATAATTTACAAATTACGGCTGTTATCATTTTATAATGCATCGTGTTTCATTTGTTTAATTTTCCAAGGCCCACCTAAAAGTGTAGGGTGCTTTTCTTTCGCGCCATCGACAAATGCCGGAAATACATAAGAAGTAAATTTAAGATACAATTTAAGCATTTTTATTAATTAATTAATTAATTAATTTCGTTTTCTCAATATTTGAGGTTAGGAACGAGATTCTGAAAAACGGTTTTCACCGCCCTCTTTGAATGTTATTTGGCTACTTTTTCATAAAGAAAAAGTCATATCATTTGATTTTTTTGGATTTTTTAGGATTTTGGGTCGTAGTGTCAAAACTAGCCCTCTGGCGGAGAAGGATTCAACGAAATTAACTATATTTTGGTTGATACTCATTGCCCAAGGAATGCTCTTTTCAACCATACCAAATTTGTTAAAATGGGTTAAACGGTTAAGAAGTTAAAGCAGGTTATTACAAAAACAATTGAATGCCCCACACCATCTTTGTTTTTGAAATAATTGAGTTTTTGTTTTTACGAAAATGATAGATAAAGTGGTTCTCTTTAAAAATGTGAAAAAAAGAATGTGTAGTTTATTATGCGAAATTTAAAGAAAATGCTATTTTAAAATTGATGGCAGTTACACCCTCTGGTGGTCATTTTTAGAACTTTTAGAATTTTTAGAATTTTTTTTTACCCCTAAGTCATACGACGAACGGTTCCCGAGATAAGGCCGAGGAACAGTCTTATTGGGTCACCCGGTACATAAGCTGCATAGAATGGTTGAACGATAACAGTATGATGCATATGGTTTGAAAATTAGGTGAACAGATAGGTACAAATATCTTGGAACCGAAATGAGGGAGGAACGGAAATGCATGGCAGAAATAAAAGCAAGAATAGCGATATTTTGCATCAGGTGATCGCTTGAGGCCTAGAAAGATTTGATTCTGAATTTACAAATTTGCCAGTATAAGAAATTTTATACGCGTACCGCTTCATAATAAAAGAGAACGGAACTAATATGCGGGAGAATGAAGCGCGTTATGATAAGAAGAGAGGGTATAACCAGATAAAAGTCAAAACGCCACAGTGTTGCCGTCCTTACGGAGCGTGAGGAATACACTTTTTGCTATACCTTTATAATTTACATGCATAAAAAGGTAGCGGAAGCTTGGTTTTCGTTGGAGCCGTTTCGGGTTTTTAACTTGGCGAGTACAATAGAAAAAATGGAGTAACAGAGAGACACTCTTCGCCGAGTTTTCAAGGCAAATCTATGCTGCAAGTCGAGTGCGACTTTTTTTTATACGGAAGATGTATCGTACGTGATATTTTTTATCGCGATAGTTAAAGTTTATTGCCGCATTACAAAATAAAACTGTTTCGACAATTCAACGAAATTATTGTTTTGTGACTGTAAATTCTCTGCGAATTGCCATTAAAAGTAAACTTATAACGGGCGATCAAAAAAGGATTCACGTCGAGTCACCTTTGGAAGTTAAATATGATTTCCCATGTAAACAAAAATTCCAAAGGTGACTCGACAGCAACTCTTTTTGATCGCATAGTATAAAGCGGCGTATTTATGCAAAAAAGGAATTTCGTTATGTAGTAGAATCGACCGGCTGGCTGATTTTGTTCAATCGATGCCTTCTTGATACGCTAGGAACAAATTTTGGTTAGATAATTTGATCGTGTAATCGTACTTAAATAAGTTTTACCATGAAAACGTTGTGATCCAAGGTGTGGAACGTTCATTGCGTTTATATTTGAATTGGATTTTTTGCATTTGATTGTTATATTTTACATAAAATACATTACAACAATGTTTAATGCACTATTGTGCCAAGGTTATTTACGATAAAAGACAAATGTATTAATCAAATTGCCCCTCTTATTGATATCTTATTTATATGTGGGATAAGATTTCGATTTAAATGGGTAGATTAGATCCGTAAACAGTTTAAAGGCGATTAATTAGTGCTTTTATTAGCTGTTAAACCCTAAGTATACCAACTATGAAATTTCGAGAAACCTAAAGCCCAGTTTATTTCTGATTCAAATCATCCATCATCTTTCAAAACCACGCTATACAAAAAGTTCAAGAAAGTCCATTCAATTCGAGAAAACTTCGACGCATTGATAAAAGTTAATTGAATATTTTTGCATTGTACCAAAACCGAGACAAAAACAGGAGTTGATCGTTTCAGGGGATATTGTATAGAAATGGTATGCTCAAAGTCAATTTAACATTCCTGAAGAGATCGGCCCACGGGAGTGTATTCCATTAGCAGATTTGTATACTTTTTATGAACGACAAACGAATCCAGACCAAAGATTTTGGTGATTTTTTTTCTAATTAATCGGGTAGTTGAATTTTAAGTTCATTGGTACCGTTCTTCAGTGTGGGTTAAATTTTATTTAGCATCCAGCGGTGTGGAAATCGTTTGAACAGAAAAATGTACAGGTTTCAGATTAATTACCAAAAATCTAGATAATAGTTACATTGGAAATGTTATCAGCACATGGAGTTTGAGATCTTACTGTGTATTTGTCACATGAATTAGTTCAAATTTTTAAATCATAAAGGAGGGTCATCAAACCAGAGCATAAGGTTTTCATTTATAAGGGGACATAAAGAATTAACTTTCCGCAAGGTAAGAGCAATTGGCTTGATTACTGAGCTAGCCGTGGTATTAACTATTTCGTTTAAGCAGTAACAGATATTACTTATGGTAGTAAAATGGATCAGCTACCGCTAAAGTTGAAAAAAAGGTGTTTTGCATGTAAGATCTTTGTATACGACTGTGAAACGTGGACATGGTGAGAGGAAAAAGAATAAATTGAAAATCTGGAAATGAGGTTATCGAGAAGGGTTTTAAAAATCAAATGGTCATATAGACTTAGAAATAAAGATGTGTTATCAAAAATAGGAGAAAAGAAAAGTAATTGGATTGAGCATGTATTAAGGGAAGCCTGATTGTTGACTGTTGAGGGAGGTGTTGGAAGAAGTGGGAACGAGGAAAAAGAAGAATGATCAGCGAGTTGAAGGGAAGAGAAAGGTATGCGATGTTGAAATAAGACTCTGTTGACAGAGAAGTGGAGAGACGCCAGCAGAACACGATTGGTGATGATATCGATACAATAAAGTGTTTTAAACACCTTCCGTTTTAGTGGAATGTGTTGGTATTTTCATTATAAATAAATATACAGGGGGTTCAAAAACTTGAATAGTGATAGCAATCCGTAAAATGAATTTTGTTCAATTTCAATTTGTGAATAATTGTAAAACTGAAGGTGGCAGAACAGTCCCCTCTATCAAGTATAAATTGTCCACATTCCATGTGCAGAAGGTGTGCGTTTTTATTGCGCCAACAACGCTAAAAATTTTACATGTAACTTTAAGTACTTCGATGCTATATACCGAGAGTTGTCTAACATGGAACTTGGAAACAGAAACAAATTTGAGGATAATTCTTAAAGAATGCGCTAATAAAAATTTATTTTCATCCCTATTTTTCACCAGGGGCATGGGTTAGTGTAATGCTGGTGTCGCTGATGAGGGCGGGCATATGGGGCTGGGAGCAAAAATACTGTGGGCTGATTTCCGGGGGCGAATCTTCTGCGAGAAAATACCCCGGGATCGAGTTTTCTTTTGTACGAAAATTCCGGAGGTTAGTTCTTTCGGAACCAAATCTTCCGAGACCGAATTTTGCTGGAGGCAAGTTTTTATGGGGGGCAAATATTCCGGAGGCGAATTTCTGGGGGCGAAAAGATCTTTTTTACAAATAAACATGTGTTTGTCGGTATGTTGAAATCTGTTATATAAATGTAATTAATGGTTATCGCCTAATGGTCCAATAATGTGTTTAATTTAGCAATTCAATTAACAATCACATCGAATTTTTCAAACGTTGATTCGGCCGCAATGTCTATAATTGCCCGATAGATGTAGGCTTTTTCTGTATTGATTTAAAGCGGGACAAAACTTTCGTTTAACCTGTCTACTGACCGATCCTACTATTTCGCAATATATAAATTGGTATAGGTATTTCGTTTGTAGTTACCTAAAATGAATACCTACACGTCAGTTTAAATTGCAATATTCGGAGAATACGCAGAAAAGCGAGGCATTGAAAACAAGGTTACAAAAAAATGTATATCCCCGTTAGCATGCAGGCCAATTGATCTACTTTTTCATATTATCAAGCATTCTCGCACTGTTTACTTCCTTGTAAATCGAAAAGTTCGGCGCCGCCGATTATTTATGACCCCCGTTCCACACGAAATCGAAAGTCCTTAAGAGATTATTAATTTCTCTTTCTTTTTTGTGCCGTTATTTACCGTTTTTCCGGCCGGGCAACGTTTTCTCCGAACGCATACATAGTAATCAAAAATTGCAGTGGAAGTAATTACTTATTCATTCCTAATTTGAAATTATATAAACATTATTTAATAGTTATTTTGAAATTATCATCGTTAATGTGCATCACATGAAAGTTGTTTCTTTTAAATTCAAATAAATCGAAGTTCAATGCTTCAATCTCACACATAAATTAGATACCTAATATTTTCCGTTGCGCCAATAAAATATTAATGTTAATTATACTCCACCTTACCGATCAATAAAAATATGGAAAATTGTTATGGATTTAGTTGAAGGGAATTCAAGGTTCGCTTCCTAATTTTTATGCAAATCTAATTGATTTATCTAATCAAGGTTGTTGCGATAGTTACCTAGGTACTACTACAATCATTAAATGAAACTAGTTTACCAGGAAAACGGTCACAAAGACCCATGTAGTCTAGTTTTCGTTGTTCTCCGTCAATATCAACAACATAAAAAAGAAAGTTGCGCCTAATTTGGTTTGCAATAATAAAGTCAGTACCGCACGAGTTAAAAAGGTCACATTCCAATCCCGACGAGATGTATCGTTAGTAAAAGAATAATAATAAAAGAGACTTACGCGACTTTTATTTTCATGACGGGGATGGTTCTAAATCGCTGTTATTCAATCCACTAACTACTGTAAAGAACCCAGACTTGTATTTATAAATTCTTATTCAACTTTTCCCTTCACTTTACAGTCGATCAGATATTTATTTAGCGTCAATCCGCCAACCTTTACCATTTTAAACAAATCCAACTGAAGTAGGTACGAGTATAACTGCAAAGTTATTTGGCATTCAATTTTTCGCATTGTTTAAGCTTTGTTGATTTAGTAATTAGTGGAGATAAGAAAGAATACCGTCTTGGGCCTTTCCGGCTTTCCAAATAGAGAGCGTCAAATTTGTTTATTGAGATTGAAATTATTTCCTTTACTTACCTACATAATATATAAACCTGATGTTACTTATTAACAAAGTAATAGGTCCTATTGTATTTCTATGATCTGGACCAGCATTTATCATGCTTCCATTCTTCATTTGTAGATGATGTAACTGACACTCAGCTCATAGGATAAATTCATTTCCTGAAGATGAACAAGTTAATATTCCATCAAACCATCAAAGCAAAACGCATAACATAGTTGCACTGAAGCAGTCGTCATTATAAAGAGTGTTCCTAAATATGATGTACACACGGAAGGGGTTAATTCTTTGGCTTTTTCTATAACTATAAGTTCGCGTAAACATAGGTCCTTATAAACGCTTCATTACCGATCCACAGGGTGTTACAATTTCACCCTACTCTTTACAATCTAAACCTTTAACTTACCTACCTATGCAAAGTTTGATACATAAATGAGGGCTGTCAAAACTAATAAATAAATTAAAGCCAGGGCCTACTAGACCATTAAACAAATTTTACTTTCATTTCGCAAACTACAGAAAACCGAGAAAACTGAGTTTTATTTTTTTCCCCCGATAACGGTCGCTAATACGAAGCAGATAAAGCACATTTTTTAAAACCGAAATAGCTTGGTAAATGGTTGGGTAGTATATACCATACCATATTGATCCATGTTTCCTTTCTTGTTAAATGATTAATGGGGAGACTTCACCAATAGATCTATGTCTCTATTTCTACCAGACGTCCAAATCGCCCTTTGTGAGTACCATTCTCCGACAATCTGTTCTTGAGATAAGAATGATTTAATATATCCGATCACGATAAGGAGCCGAGGAGGAGGCTATGGTTGGTAGAAATTAATACCTTTTGTTGAAACCTTTCATTAGAGTACCCCATCATCAAAATACATATAGATTGTAAATGGATACAAGATGTGCTGTGACCGGCAATATTTCCTGGCGAGAGTTATATAAAGACTGGTTTATGGACATTATATTGGATAGGTACAGAATTTGCGTGAACTCTCTTAAAAATGTTAGCTTTTATCAGCAAAGTACGACTGCCCCATTAAATATTTTCTTTGTGAAGTGGCTCGTTTACGGCATTTGAATTTTTCTAATTATTGTGAATGGAAAGTATAGTGATGCTCTCCTATAATAAATTAAACATAATCCCATCAAAGTTTGAAACTTTCTCATAGCTCAGTATGTGACCCGAAAATTAAAAAAAAAATTCATTCTTAGCAACCTATGTATGAGTATATATCGCACTATTCTGCATTAAGAAACGATATTTGGTCTTAGTCTAACATATATGTACATGTACCTATTCATCTTTCGTTCTGTTTAAAACGAATTTTTTTATTTTGTTATAGCGTGAAACGTCATTTAGTCGGTAACCATTAATTGCCGCAATGCATGTGATGCTGAACAAAAATACTAAACATAACCTCTACTATGTTTCGTCCCCAAACTAGAATAAAATATCCTTTCGTTTTTCGTTTAATGAAAATACCCTGTACATAAGCATTTTTTCCGTGCCTGTATATATTCCTACTTGTTACGTGTGCGCGCATGAGCCGCACAAGCGAAATGTGTACTCGTCGCGCAGAATTCGTCCCATTCATCGAGCACTTGCCAATTCGCCGTTGGGAAACCGCCGTTCATCAATGGCCGACTAGCTTTCGTCGTTCGCATCGATTGATCGATCAACAGCAATCAAGATGTCGCCGTGCAGTTCGCAGCGACCCTGAACGTGTTTGTTAAGAAACAAAGCGTCAACACAGCACATCAAGAAGACTTCGTTATAACAAATAATCGTCCTCGACCAAATCGCAGAAAAGAGCAATTTTCTCCATTGCAATATCGCCTTCGTAAATAGCGGACTTCATTTTACAATAAATACAGTCTATTCCATTCTTTATTATCGAAGCCTCCTTTGTACGGTACACTTTAAATCTAATCCTCCTGTCACCTCCCATTTATGATCCTTTTATTTCCACAACCATTTGTCTACATTATCTTTTTGTTTTACAAAAAATCTTTATCACAGCTACCAATTTACAACGAATAATTATAGGGTGGGCAAATTACATTTTAACTCAGAAATTCATTTTTATCGTTTTAGATTGTAATATTCTGCAATTGCGACATGCCTTTTACTTTAGAAGAAATTAAGCTGCTTTTACAGTCCCATTTCCGCAATGGAAGTAAATACGCAACCGGAGTTTGGACGTATTCGACTCGCCTGTGTATATTGTTCGTGTAGTTAAGCGATTTGACGATACAGGAAGTGTTGCTTGTGGAAAATCCCCTGGTCGCCCAACTGTTGCTAACTAGGCGGTAGTACAAGATGTGCGTGCTCGTCTTGAACAAACCCCGCAAAAGCCACTGCAACAGCTATTCCAACAAACTGGTTTGTCATACGGAAATTGCATTTCTACCCATACAAAGTAACCGTGCTACAAGAACACATATCGTCCCGACTTTGAAAAACGTGTGAATTATTGCAATTGGTTTAATGAAACTCTACGAGACGACAACTTATTACACAAAAGTTATTTCTCGGACGAGGCTTGGTTTCACCTTAATGGATACGTTAATTCCCAAAAGGAGTGCTGAAAACTACATGTTTATCAGGAAGCTCCGCTTCATCTTCTGAAGGTAGGCGTGTGGTTAGCGATGTCGAGAAGGCGAATTGTACGCGGGGCCGATATTCTTTGACAATATTGTGTAATCATGCTAGGGGTCTCTCAAGCCGACACTGAAAACGTTGACTTACCCTATACCATTGGGAACTTGGGGAAAAATCTACGAGCAGAACCACCTATCTTTCAAGTCGAAACGATGGGCGTTTCGCGGCACTTTTGAATTTGGACAGCTCGGCTCAATATGGATGGCACGAATGAACTCCTACTTTGTGTAATCGGTTCTTGTACATGTTGGGACGTGAGACATAATCGGGAAGGAAGAAACAAATATATTACGCACACAACAAGACCATACCAGTGAAACCTTGTACGGGACAAAACTTGACATAGCCCACACAAATACATGAAATAAATCACCTGCAGCAATAAAATGCAAGAGAAAATACACATAGATAAAACATCTCAAACTGATGATAAATCTCGAGGTAATCGAATCAAATGCAATTAAACAAATTCATAAAAACAAAACACACGAGACATCATAAATGCGGTGGAAACATGATAAATCAATTCAGTAAAAAAACACATTAAAATAGGTACATGTACAATCAATTGAGATAACACAACTTGTAAAATAATGTACATAGGAAACATCAAAATAGTGTGGCCTACGTTAACATAAGTTAATTAAACACGAAAAGTATATATGAGACTGCTAATAGCAAGTATTCATGTGAAAGTTGATCATTGCTCAAGCAAAACACATTTGGGAAACTAATCAATCTTATTTACATGATTGCTTTAAAATGTTTAGTATAATAAGTGTCATTTTTCATAAGAGCGGTTTCGGGGCCGATTCTAACTGATTTCAACGGTCGAAATAGAATTTCGACGGCGCCATGACACCAAATTTCTACTCTTAGGGTGTAATAGGAAGTTTATGTTTCTTTAAGTTTGATCTTATATTTTGCTAAGTTGGCTGTCTGATTTTGAACTATTTTAAACTTTATATACAAAACCATATGTTCGACCCTAACCCTACAGTAGCTACAATCGTATCTATTATTATGCCTCCATGAAGGAAATTAAAATGGTTTTTTGTTGGGATGTGATTTTAGTCTCCGACATTGTAAGATACGTAGGTAACAGTAAAACAAAACAAAGCCACGGATAAAAAATGTAAACAGTGTACCAAAACACAAAATTGAGGATAAAACCACGTGCGACTTTCCGAATAACAAAGGGCGCACTGTCGCTATCCCTTCTATTTCGACGTTGAAATCGTAATTTCAACCACTCTAGTCTAGTTGAATTTATTTTCAACGGTAGAGAAGTTATGACGTTTCAATGACGTATATTAGTAGTTCATGATAACACCGATAGATGGTTACGATCGCAATTTCGACGCAACTACTGAAATTTCAACCGTCGAAATCAGTTAGAATCGGCCAGGCAATGATTACTGATCGCTCTGTACTCTATCAATTTCATGAATTTCAATGTTGAAACAGTGCCTGTACCTTGGCCACAACCACAAAATGATTGATAGACAACGTAACCTCACTTATAATTATAAATAAAAATAATAGAAAATAAACAAGTAACAAAAATGAATATATGTACTATAATTTATATATTATACCTATAATTTTATTAAAATCTCATTTAGATGAACCGCCTTAAATTCCTAATTGTGATAAATTTGATAGCATTTATAATATTAGTATTCTTTTATGATGTGTTTAGTCCAAAAGTGCAAAACAAGAAATTTCCGTCGAAAAACGAAAGTGTTTTATATTTAAAATCATTAACGCCAGAAAATGTAACGAGGACAGGGTATAACGTTTGGTTAATCTTTACCAAAGTGGCCGAAAATTCGCCATTAAAATTAAAATTTCAAAACCTAATTGATAATGTACTAAACGTTACGAGTGTCCCATTAAACTTTCATGTGATTACAGACAGTCTGTCTAGAAGAATTGCACTTTCACAGTTTGTAAATGTGTCGTCTCATGCGAAGCATCCATTTGACTGGAACTTTTATGATATTAACGAAGTGTCGAATATCATGAAAGATATTGTGGCAGTATTGACACCCCATTTTAGTTCTAAACCTGGTTAGTAAACGAATTTGATATTGATATTGCTTTAACTAAATGTGTTACTAGGTACTTATTATAGCGATGCATTATTTTATATTTCGCTCGGATTATATCGCATCGCTCCTCTTGATCAAGAAATGGCTGTTATATTAGATTGTGATTTATATTTTAAAGATGATATAGTGTTACTTTTTAGAGAATTTGATAGGTAAGTCTGCCCGAAATTCTACAAAAAGTATGAATGCAATTTTTCCAGGTTTAAGGGAGATGCATTGTTCGGTTTAGCACCCGAATTAAGTCCGGTTTATCTCCATTGCTTGCATAAATACAGGCTTTCGGCAAATACAACGTTTGGTAATTTTTACAACTTGAACAGTACATCGGGACTTGTGCATCCACATGGTTTTCAAGGATACAACTCTGGTGTAGTTTTGTTAAATTTACGTAGAATTAGAGAATCCCAACTGTATTCTAAGGTATTAAGCGAATCGTTTGTTGATTATCTTGTTGAGAAGTATATGTTTAAAGGCCATTTAGGCGACCAAGATTTTTATACATTAGTAGGTTACGAATATCCAAATTTAATTCAAACTCTTCATTGCGGATTTAATAGACAGTTATGTACGTGGTGGAAATATCACGGTTACAATGATGTTTTCGACAACTATTTTAAGTGCACACACAAAATTGTCATTTTACATGGCAATTGCAATACTAAAATTTTAAGGTAATCTCATTTGGATCGTGGCTTGTGGTGCATTGTTACTAAAACATGTACAGTATAGTAAGCAATAAGTTTTCCAATAATGTTTGGTAGCCTCATGTAGCCTGTAGGTATTTTCTCAAGGTTTTAACTGCGAAATACTTTAATTTCGCAAAAATTGTTACATGTTTATTTATTAACTAATTACTCGCTGGTATTTTTCAGTATTTTTTATATTTGTTTTTTTGCATGTATTTTTTGTTGAGATTTTCGAAAATATATTTTTTTATTTAGAAAATTGGTGATATGAAAGTGCTATATACAAAGTTAAATAAACTTTTTTATAATTGTGAATGTTGTCTATTTTATGTGGCCTAGATTAAAAATTGTCTGTATACCCCATATATATATGTATACAGGATGTCTTAAATTGAGTATTATAACATGGCTATCTTTGATGCTAATGGATATTCCAATGCGATATTTTGCAAAAAATAAATCGCATTAGATAATTGGAAAGGAGTGAAATTCGCCATTTTTAAAAAGGTCAATAATTTAGTAGCAAAGAAGGCTATCGAAAACAGTTTCAAATAAAAGTTGCAAGATTTGATGGGATAAATTCAATAAGAGTAGAAAAAAATTTTAAAATGACTTCGAGATCTTGACACCAACTTCCTTATTTCAAATGGACGCCATATTGGATTTTTACGTCACTCGATAGAGAAAACAAGTTGTAAATCAGTTGTTAATCAATATTAAAGCGCATTTTTGGTAATACATCACGTCACTATTTTATTAGCGAAGTATAAAATTATCGATCTGACGAGTAATTTTGGCTGCGTTAAATAGGTAATTAATTTGAATTGAGGGACGTCTTTATTTTGTAAAACAAATCACAAAGTAAATAATTAATTTTTGATACTGGTAGCGCTAACGGTAAAATTATAGCACCTGCGAAAACCATATCGAAATTATTTTCTTCAATTATCGATCTCACGTGTAATTTAACTCAAAATAGACTAGAGCCTGCACATCTACGCTATAGGCGCTATAGCAGAAAGCTTTTAGTGAAAATTTGAAGTCTAGCTATAGTAGTTGCTGAGATCTCATCCGGACAGTCGGCCAGCCAGCCATAACGATTAATAGCGTATTTTTTAGCGCATTTTGTAAGGATGCATAACTTTTACATACGACAACCAATTAGTCTCAGATTATGCATACGCAGGCCTTTAGTGGTGCCAAGTTAACCTTTAGAAAATACCCTTCATGGTATTCTAATGGAAGGTTTCATCGAAATAAATTGGTTTGTACAAACTATAACTTTCCCGTGCGACGCTTTTTCGAGATCAGTGAGCGAAGGAGCTTGTTATCTCTCATTGTATTCTAATTAAAGGTATCAACGAAAGGAACCGTTTTCTACCAACTACTGCCCTCTTATCAAAGTACGTGGTGGCGGGGGAGGGGGGGGACTAGTTATATCCTTCATGGTATTCTAATGAAAGGTCTCAACGAAAGGAATGAATTTCTACCAAATTTATTCCATCGAATCTTGCAACTCGATTAAAAATATTTTTCGATAGCTCCCTTTGGTAGGTACTAAAATATTTGAACTATTTAAGTATGGCGATTTTCATTTTTTTCCCAATTATTTACGACACTAATTATTTTTTTCAAAATATGACATTGTAATATCCATCAGCATCAAAAACTATACACAACTTTGCCAATTTAACCGAATCTGTACCTAAGTATAATTATAACAATAACAAATATAACCATGTTTTCCTACTCAATTTAAGACACCATGTATATTGTATACCCTATATGAACAAGTCCAAGGTTATGCACTGTACACCACAGACCACAAACGATGTTCACTAGGCCACAGGCCATCAATGGATAGATAAGCCTGTTCAAGGTGACTTCATAACGGGGGCGACACTCCGACGTTTGCACCAAATCCAACCAAATCTGACCTCGTATGCGCGTTGTCTACTTACTTTGGCCATTGAATTTATAACTATTATAAATTCAATGGCTATCCTCTAAAAATGCAGCTTACGGCTAATCAATTTGAACCCATTTACAGGAAAATTCTCACCGACTAAAATATAAGAAATTAGGTAAAAAAATAAATCCTTGGCAAATAATTTTTTACACAATAACATAAGACTTTGGTTAGTCAATTCACACAACTTTTCCTGTCAATGAATAAAGATTTACAAAAGGACAATTTACAGATCTCTTATAATATGTTCCGTGGAGTTGTAAACTTTCGTATACCTACTAAATTGACGTAGTTTGTTTTTGAAACTTCGCGAGTATTGCCCGGCTGTGTTTTTATTTTCTCCTGTCTGGAAGAATTCCGTTTCCCGATGTCACTTATTAAGAGAGTAATCCAAATTAATAAGGTTACCTGTGAAAACGTTGTAACTATCGAAAGAGAAAAATTTAAATCTGCTCTAATCTCCTACACCAAATTTACGGACAGCTTTCAATACCACGATTTCCAGAAACCCGGATTTCCAGTTGAGCACAAATACGGTCTAAAACGAACGTCTGAAAATGCACACTTTGCTTCTTATACTAACAACGTTTCGGTAGTGAAAAAAGTCAATTTGACTTTGAGTTCTACCACACCTAAAATCCGAAAAAATCCGTATTAATCCCTACCTATGTGTTCTAATTATATGACGCCCCAAAATGGCGGTTTATTCACGAATTCGTTGTGCCCCACGAATTACAAGAGAGCTTCTACTAGGGTAAGATAACCTACGTAAGTTTTGCTTCAGAATTTACAGTTCAAACTTGAGAAGCATTCAAAACCATACGTTAGTTTTTCTGTTCAAGTGTCACCCCATTAAAAGGCAAGCACGCTACTACTTTGCATTTGTGTTTTCATCTAGTCTTATAGGTATTTTAGTGTAGTATACTTAACCCCCAGGTTCTACTCTAACTTAACAAAAACAAACAACTAAACAACGCTGTGACCTGAAGCACAGTAGGGAAGGAACGTAAAATAAAACACTAAAATTGTGAAAAGTTTGTTTAATAATTATCGTTATTATTATGAATTGTTAAAGCTCGGAAATTTAAGTCGAAATAAATTACATTGCAAAAATAAACTTTGAAAATGGTAGTTCACCGAATCAAAATAGAAATAGGCTGGCAAAAAAAAGAACTTACCAATAAAAAAACCAGCCGTCAAATTAATATTAAATTGTGTAGTAAAATTAATTGTTTGTAATGATGTGAATGCGTAATATAAAATTATAACATCACAAAAAGTAGCAGATATAATAAACTTCAAGAGGTAACATAATATAGGTTAAAAACAAGTTTTGGGAATTATGGGTCAGATAAGTAGGTACCAAGATTCTAAGAAAGGGTGAAATACACAGGATGTGACTTATCTTTGGTGCAATAAAATCCTTTTGTTAACAGCAAGATGGAAAACTACATGGTCTTGTAGGCAAATTCAACTCGGCAAAAATATGTTGAAATTAGCAAATTGTAACTCATTTATCGCACATAGATTCTAAACTGAAGAGTTTTGATTAGCGTAATCCCGCTCTGGCAAGATAGGTAACCCGCCCTTGGTTTCGGGGTTTCGACCCTACAGTTGAGTGTCGAAGACAATCAAGGAATTAGGTGTCGTAGCTCAATTTTGACTACAGTTTTTACCACCGCCGTGACTGCTTCATTTACGGAGAAAATTGTTAGTTACAAACAAGTCAGTACATACATCAAGCGAATTGGTAATTTCCACATATTAAAATAAAATGATCAAAACTTATAGGAATGTTACTTCAGGGACAAGACCAAGTAATCAACATCAATAAACATAAATTAAGCAAGCATTATATCAAAAACGTAAACAAATACAAACAATAGCATAACGGTATCACATATGTGATTCTGCATTGAGGTTAAACCAAGTAAATTTTAAAAAAAACAGATTTAAACACAAAAAATATAAAATGTGGCATACAATACACAAATACGATATAAAAAAACGCAAAGATTACTACCTGCATTAAAAAACACAAAATAACAATAAACATTTACTTATGGAGCGACGCGTTCACGACCGCCATTCAAGACAAGATGCTAAACATAACCCACGTGTGTGCTCTCTAGATGACGGAAATCGCTTTCCCTTCCTATAAATTGCGTGGTTGCCAACTCTCAAAAATGTGTGCATCGTCGTAAATTGTATACCTATACAGGGTGGAACCTCTCAACAGTATGTTCCTAGGGAGGATACACAAAATGTATTGCAATAAATGTATGCACAATAACTTGTATGTCTAACTGTGTTTTTTACACCAGCGATTGATTGAATTCTTTTCCGCATTTTATATCTTTGTAGGTCTGTTATCTCAATCTTTATTAATGATTTCTGGCGCATTTTCCAAAGAAGTTGGGTGCGCTATTGTAGCTACTTTCTCTGTCTGTCTGTCTGTCCGTCCATCAGAAGCCTTAACCATTCCTACAGTTTTATAGACTAGTTGCCGTGGTTAAGATTGGTAAATATTCATGCGTTTGATATTGAATAAATTAAAATAATATTAATATGCAGCGGGCTGACCTGTTTAATATGTGGTATTTATTTATTTTATTTATTTATTGTCCCTCTTGTTCTAGGCCAAGAGGCCTACGCCCAATTACAGAGTGACCCGCATATTGCATTTTAGAGGTGCCCCTACAGAAGGTCTTAAGTTGTTCTATACCACTCCGGTATTTACCTTACAAATTAGGAAAACTGCAGGACTCGAAACTGATCTAAGGAAATTCCCATCTCTGTCACAGATGAAAAATTTACCTCAACCACCCGACCTCTGGTTTTGTAGCCCAACGCTCTACCACTGAGCTACAAAGCGTTAAATGGTATGGTATGCCCGATCTCTAAGGTACCGATGCAGGTAGAATGGCATAGCATCCATTAACGTATTCTGATATTCCATTCCCAATTTTGTAGAAGGCCTTCATTGAATGTTGTTTGTGTTTCCCTAGTGATAAAAGTCATTACATTTCAAGTCAACCGTACATCAAAAAATCGGTTTGATTAAAGTTATCCAAAATGGCTGACGAAAAGAGCGATATTCAAAGCAAAGATGTACACGTGGACTCATCACACGCGGTCACGAAAAAGAAACGCATAACTAAAGCAGAAAACCTTAAGGAAAAATTGGTATGTACTTTGCTTTGCTCCATAAATCTAAAAGGGACTTTATAGGCTAAAGCTAGGGATGAACGTTCCGATCGTATCTTAACCCTTCAGTCGACTCATCGTCATGTCTGCGATATGGTTAGTACGTATTGGGAAGTAGACGTTAATGAGATAATAGATGCAGTAGGCGACGATATTGCCCATGTGAAGCTGCTCGAAAGTTTTTGTAAGGCGAACGGCGCTTGCGCTGTCATTTTTGTTAGCCAAATTGGACCCGCTTACGAGATATGTAAACATATCGGCAATCGAACAGCAATTTTGACACTTTCTTCTAGCAACTGGTCGCCATAATCCTGTAATCCCAGCGGATTCGACGACTCGACGTTGCTACATCACAAATGGTCTGACCGTGCCGTTAACCGGTAAAGCCGTGATAGTTTACAGGAATAATAACGCAAAGGACGTGGACATGCGAACCATAGCGGACGACGTCTACTTCACCCAGTTTGATATGAGCGAGAATAACTATAACATCGTATGCGGTTTATATACTCTCCTAAGTAAATTCGTAACATCATCGCTGACTAAAACTAAAGAATGGGGCGATCTCACGAAGACCGACATTGGTCTGCAAGCGAAGAGCGACTTTTTAGCGGATTATATTTGTTTCGCCAATTTTATTGATAGTAAGACGGTTTTGCGTAGGTAGTTGATGGATTTCGTCAGTGATCTTTCAGAAACTAGAATCGATCTGGACGAGTTGGTAGAGTTTGACGAAAACCCAGAAGTGACGGAGCAGATCAACTCACCCACTAAGATTACGGCGGCCGTACGTAATCCCGACCTATTGGAGAAAGCCTTGGCGAGCGTCCGAGGATGGCTGAAACTGATAGAACGGGTCGTAATCCAGTTTCATCAGTTGCGGAGGGAGGACGAGTTCGTGGGCCCTGTGGTGGAAATCGAATACTGGCGTAGACAACTGGCTAAATTTACGAGTGTGCTCAAGTTTACAGCTACTGAGAACTGCGAGTTTTACATTCGATTGATATCAAAGGCTAGATCGAGATACGTGAAGGTAAGAAGATTGATTGCAACTGAAATACGCTCATGAGCTTGTAGTCGTGGAAGTCTTTAGATGACAAGGTTATAGAAGCTCGCAACGAGTGCTTGGACAATGTGAAGTACCTGTACACCCTGGAAACTTACTATGAGCCATTGTACAGGTGCGATCCTACCAAGATACCGGCACATCTGGCCGGTTTACTCAATGCTATAAGACTGATATACACCACATCAAGATATTACAACAACACATCGAGTATTACGGCTATTTTGGTGAAGATATCCAATCAGATAATAATAATGTGTCGTAATTACATTAACTGCAACGGAACCAAGACCATTTGGGTGCAAAAGAAAACTGATGTCATCGACAAGATTAAGGTTTGCGGACACTTTCTGATCCGCTTTGTTTTGAGCGATAATTTGCAGGTGTGCCTAGACCTTTACTTACGGTACTATCAGTGTTTCAAACGCATACAAAAAGACATGGAAGATTCTGGTGAGCAGCCGTTCGTCTGTTCAGAAATATACGTCTTCGGCAAACTGGAGACATTTAAAAAACGTTTGGAGAGGATCACGGAAGTTTTTACCGTGACGGTCAAGTATTCGATTTTGGAAAGCAGCACCATCGAAGGTATAGGCGAGTTTGCGAGCAGATTCTCAGAGTTTTACAAAAATGTGTCGACAAAAAAGTACGACGCCCTTAATCATCGGCAAGATATGTTCGATGAGGACTACACTGAGTTTAAGAAAAACGTGGCTAAAATTGAATGGGATCTTGAGGAGTTTGTGGGCAACTCTTTGGAGAAAATGGTCGACGTCGATAACGTCGTCCGCTTGCTGGTCAGGTAAGAATTTGAGTGAACGAAACGGGTCACATTACGGGAGTTATTCAGATTCGAGAAGCTGGACTTGCCATGCTTACATTTAGATGATCGATACCTGGAAGCGATAGAAATGTTTCAGAGTGAAATCGAAGAATTACGAGATCACTATAATGAAGAAAGGCAAAACCCGCATTTACCTTGGAATGTACCACCGGTAAGCGGTAGGATTATGTGGATACGCCAGCTGTATACAAGAATTGAAGAACCCATGAACAAATTTAAAGAGAAATTAAAGGTTTGTATTTTCATATTATGTTCTCTGGGGGGAAACAGACTGGCCAGATTTTGAATGCCTATTTCAACGTCGCTACTGTAGGCGCACGCAATTTTTCCGCAGGTAGCAAATATTTACAGGTGGTTGGCTTAAGTATGTCCCACTTCTATGTGCGAAAATTATTAAAACAAAAATGTGATATCCACCCTTCGGTAAATTTCAGGTAGTTTACTTCACTGCGCTCGCGGTCCAACGCGAATTTCGCATGAGTATAAAAACCATACTACAGTGAGTTACAGGCGATCGCTTCCCTTACCGCTTCGCACTATCAGTCTCACGGTTCGTTGCCAATTTTCTCGCGGTTAGACGCAGATTCCTTTGAAATTCGATGACAATTGCCTCACGGTTCTCACGGACCAACCAACTTCCCACTACTTTTATTTTTTGAGTCACACCCATCCCTGGACTCAAACCTTTTCTAGCAATCAAAAAAAAACTGTCCTGTCCAATCAGAATTCTATAAAGACCCCCCGCCCTCTAAACTGTAGCGCAAGGGTTGCAGCTAACTTGCTGTTGTTTAGTTCCCTAGCTCCTACGACACGCAATGCCTTCCGTGGTAGGGTTAGTCGTTCCCACCCCTAGACGAGTAAATGTCTCCAAGAAATATTAATAAAAATCAAAAATTAAATAAAAAATCGAATAAAAGAAGTGTATTAACGGACTCCCGTTACAAAATATGCTAAAAATCTTTCAGTTCTGTGTATTTTAGCGCATTTTTTAAGAATTAAAAAAAATGGGCTATTCTTTGCGCTTTGTCCGGTCGTCCGTCCGTCCGTCCGGACCCACTTTTACCGTTACTTCTAGGGGAATGGTCCTAGAAGTCCTGGAATTTTTTGCACTAGGTAGCCTATACCTTGAAAGTGTGCCAGACGGCCATCAAATTTCGCTGTCTAAAAGGGGGCCTCCCCACGAATTATTTCCTGAGATGCTGTTTTTTAAAGTAAAACGTGCATAACTTTTACATACGACAACCAATTGGTATCAGATGCCAATTTAAACTTTAGAAAGTAGGGGGGGGGGGGTAAACATGTTCTACCCTTCGAGATCAGTGAGCGACGGGGTCTGAGGGCGGAGGCGTTAAAAACTAATTTTATCTCTCATTGTATTCTAATTAAAAAATTTGATACATAGCCACTTGTAATAAAACAAAATTTAACGCTAGTTTCAGAATTTCGTTTTGCGCATGCTCAGTGCCAAACTTTCTTATTTATGGAGGGATTTAAAAGAAATTTAAAACATTGCCACTTGGAATAAAAGCAAATGTAGCGCTATTTTCTAAATTTGGTTTTGCGCATGCGCAGTGCCAACTTTCTTATTTATGGAGGCATTTAAATAAAATTTGATACATAGCCACTTGGAATAAAACCAAATTTAACGCCAGTTTCAACATTTGGTTTTGTGCATGCGCAGTGCCAACTTTTTTCTCTATGGAGGGATTTAAATGAAATTTGATACATAGCTACTTGGAATAAAAGCAAATGTACCGCCATTTTCCAAATTTGGTTTAGTGTAGGATGTGCAGTGCCAACTCTTATTTATGGAAGAAATTTCGTAGGGGTGTTTTAAAAAAAATGCGCTTTACCTGCACAAGGGTTGTGCACAATTTGTACTTGTTTATCTATATCACCTCTTAAGGGTTTCAAGGGTTCAAATAATAATTATTAAATAATTCATTCCACGCGCAATCAATTTACACCGACCGATTTCTTTAAGAATTTCGTACGTTCCATAAAAATGGAATCCAATTTTTTAAAGAAAACTGATTATTAATTTTATTATTATGGTCGGTGTTTCTTGTGAGAGCTCAGGTCTAGCCTGGTTAACTAATCGCACGGATTAAAATCAAGTAACGATTAGTGTCTGTGTCTGTGTCTGGTGAAGTTATGTAGGGTTCTAAAGAAAAATAAAAAATAAAATAAATATTCACACACTCACCTTGGAAATCTAGGGATAGTATGTAATTCATATTATTATTATGGTCGGTGTTTCTTGTGAGAACTCAGGTCTAGCCTGGTTAACTAATCGCACGGATTAAAATCAAGTAACGATTAGTGTCTGTGTCTGTGTCTGGTGAAGTTATGTAGGGGGAAAAAAAAAAAAAAATCACACACGTACATTGGACATCTAGAGATAATGTAATTCGTACTTACCAACATACCTATTGATGGGCACAATAGCCAACGCTATCAGGAAAGAGGAAAACAAAACAAAAAAAATCATTATAATAATTCCTGTAATTTTATTAAATGGAGTTTATTGTGTACGTGTTTCTTTGGCTTTGCGTTTGGGTTGAATACGAGTGGGTTGTGATAACGTGGTGTGTTTCTGTGAAGAAGGAGTTTTGTGTTTTTTATTTGTATTTATGGTGTTTCTTTGTTCCTGAGGTTGTATTTGTGAGGTTGCTTGGGTTTTTGGTGGAGATATTGCAGTATTTTGTGAGCCTGTGTTAAGGTTTTTGCGTTTCGGTTGTATACGAGTGGGTTGTTTCTGACAAGAAGGAGTATTGTGTTTTTTAACTGTGCTAGGGCGTGTAACTTTATTGGATGGACCTGTCTTTGTAGTACATGTTGCGTTACTTGTGTTTATGGTGTTTCTTTGCTCTTGAGGTTGTATTTGTGAGGTTGCTTGGGTTATTGATGGAGATATTACAGTATTTTGTGAGCTAGTAGTGCTGTATACTGTATAGGTTTCTGCGTTTGGGTTGAATACGAGTGGGTTGTGATAACGTGGTGTGCTTCGGTGAAGAAGGAGTTATGTGTTTTTTAATTGTGCTAGGGCGTGCAACTTTATTGGGTGGACCTGTCTTTGTAGTGCATGTTGCGTTACTTGTATTTATGATGTTTCTTTGTTCTTGAGGTTGTATTTGTGAAGTTGCTTGGGTTTTTGCTGGAGATATTTTAGTATGTTGTGAGCCTGTAGTTCTGTTAAGGTTTTTGCGTTTCGGTTGAATACGAGTGGGTTGTGAAAATGTGGTGCTTTTCTGTGAAGAAGGAGTTTTGTGTTTTTTAAATGTGCTAGGGCGTGTAACTTTATTGGATGGACCTGTCTTTGTAGTGCATGTTGCGTTACTTGTATTTTTTTCTTTGTTCTTGAAGTTGTATTTCTGTTGTTGCATGGGTTATTGGTGGAGACATTACAGTATTTTGTGAGCCTGTGTTAAGGTTGTTGCGTTTGGGTTGAGTACGAGTGGGTTGTGTTTGTGATAACGTGGTGTGTTTCTGAGAAGAAAGAGTATTGTGTTTTTCAGCTGTGCTAGGTCGTGTGGGTGAGGGCGTCTTTGTAGTGCGTGTTGTGTTACTTGTATTTATTGCGTTTGTTTGTTCAGGAAGTTGTGTTTGTGTGGTTGGTTGAGTTAAGTTTGGAAATATTACAGTATGTTGTGTGTCATGTTGTGAGTCTAAAGTGCTGTTTAGGCTTTTGCGTTTGGGTGGAATACTAATGGGTTGTGATAATGTGGTTTGCTTCAGAGGTGAATCTCTGATTGTAGTATATGTTGTATCATTTGTTGTACTTGTTTGTTCGGTAAGTTGTATTTGTGTGCTTGTTTGGGTTAGAGGTGGAGATATTACAGTATGTTGTGTACCGTGTTGTGAGCGAGTACTGTTGTTTACATGTATACGTTGTGGATCATTTCTGTATGTATGTTGTGTTATGTTTAGAAATTTACGAACAATATGGCATGTGTTGATAATGACTGCTTTTTGTAAATGTTTGTATGTGTTTTTGTCTAAACCTAATAGTTGTAAATTGTGGTGTTTTGTCTTTGGTATAACTCCAGTAGCACTAAGAATAATGGGAACTATAACAGTAGATTTCATTCTCCATTGCGTCTTAAGCTCGATAGCTATATCGGTGTATTTGCGGTGTTTTTCTGCATGTGTTTTAGTTAAGTTGTTAGTGTTGGGGATGGCAATGTCTATAATACAAATGGATTTTTGTGTTTTATCTATAAGCGTAATGTCTGGTCTATTATTGTGGATAGTTTTATCTGTGAGTAGTGTCCTGTCCCAATATAATTTGTGTGTGTTGTTTTCGAGTATGATCTGTGGCGTGTATTTGTAGTATGGTGTCGTATCTGTTATGAGATTGTGTTTAAGTGCTAATTTTTGATGTATGATTTTAGCTTCCTGATCGTGTCGATGTTTGTATTCAGTTTGTGCAAGTCGTGTGCATGCCGATATTATATGTTGGATTGTTTCTGATGTTTGTGAACAAAGTCGACAAGAATCATTTGTCACTGTTTTATCTTTATGGATGTGTTTTTTATAGTTGCGTGTGTTAATGACCTGGTCTTGTATTGCTAACATGAAACCCTCAGTCTCCGGGAAGACATCACATTCAGACAACCAACTGTGCGTTGCATAGAGTCAACACAATCCTGGCCAACCTCTTGTGGAAATCGTCCATGTAAAGGCTTTTGGTTCCATGTCTGTATGTTATTTGTGATGTATGTAAGTTTGGATGCGGGTGGGAGTACATTAGTTTCGTGTAGGTTAAGTGGTGTGTAAGATTTGTCTGCATATGTTACTGTTTTGTGTAAGACTGAAGTATCTGATTTGTTATAAAAGTATTGTCGTAAATTGTGTATTTGTGTTTGGTGCAATAGTTTTATATCTGTAAGTCCTCTACCTCCTTCCGAACGAGGAAGGTAAAGTCGTATAGTAGAGGAGTGAGAGTGATGTATATGGTGTTTTGTTAATAGTGTACGTGTGTTTCTCTGTATTTGTTCTAAATCTGTATTTGTCCAACGTATAATCCCAAAAGAGTATGTAAGCACTGGTATGGCATAAGTGTTAATAGCTTTGATTGTATTTCTACCGTGTAATTTTGTTTTAAGTATACTGCGTACTCTTTGTAGGTATTGTGTGATAAGTGTTTGTTTTATACTCGTATGTTTAATATGTGTATTTTGCTGAAAACCAAGATACTTTTTTATTATTATTATTATTGTTATTATCCCTCTCTTGTTCTGGGCCCTCAACAGGCTTGCGCCCAATTACAGAGTGACCCGCATAATGCTTATTAATTTTATATCTCATTGTATTCTAATTAAAGATCTCAACGAATGGAACCGCTTTCTACCAACTACTGCCCTTCTTTCTGTCATCTGGTCAAAGTACGGGGTGGAGGGGGAGGAGTGGGGGAAGTGGTTTTATCCTTCATGGTACTCTAATGAAAGGTCTTAACGAAAGGAATTAATTTCTACCAACCATAGCCCTCCTCCTCGACCTGTTATCGTGATCGGGTATAAGTATTCCCTTATACCTCAAGAACGGATTGTCGGAAGAGGGTACCTACTCACAAAGTGCGATTGAGACATCTGCAAGGAATATATCCATTGGTGATGTCAAAACAAAAGCTATTTCGGTAAAAAAATGCGCTTTATCTGTACAAGAGTTGTGCACAATTTATACTTGTTTTTATCTATTCACGTTATTTCGGCTCCATCCAGACGGAACCAACGAAATTGGGCTACTCAAAAACCCACGCGTCCTTGCTACGCACCTACATAATACTATTCATATATGAAGCGGTACATGCGATTTTTACGTATCTAAAATTCGGCCTAGCGGGCTCCCGTTATAGTGCATGTCGAGGGACACCTGGGGATTCTTATATGGCAATGGGCGGTTAACGTGGAGCACGTAGCGTAACATTTATGGCCCCTTTTTTGTTTACTATGGGGTGCTGATTTCGTGTTGATTACTGCTTTATGTTTCAGCTTTTTCAAATATGTCTCATTTAGAACACTCCCTTTACCATTACATCTTTTTTTTTCAGGTTATGAGGCATCGTAAAGTTCAAAAATGTATTCAGATGTTCAATTCTTTGTCTTGTGTTTTTGTACACTATGAACAATTGTACCACAAAGCTTGGTTTAAGCACATCCCTCAGGTACAGTTTATTTTTTAATGGAATGGGTCGCCCAAAATGGTTTTTCAGGTGAGAGGAGTATTAGGTGCGCCGATACTAATCACCAATAATAAAACAAGAAGGTTTGTGGTCAATTTCGACCCTTACATAGTGGAGGCAATCCGGGAAACTGAGTACATACAAAAACTGGATCTTCGTAAGTGATGACATCGTATTTTCGAAAACGTCAGCACGCTCCTTTTAATAGCCGTACCGGATGTGGCTCAAATATTGGTCTTCTGTAAAAATAAGATTCTTCACGCCTACGAGGTGGTGAAGCAACTGGTTGAAAAGAACAACACCATGAGAAGAGATATGCCCAAGTTGTTCATTCCGCTACTTAAAAGTCAGCTACTGAAAATGCAAGTGGTCTTTATGCCCGCCCTCTCAACAATCACATGGACGTCAATGAGAATTCCCGACTTCTGCAAAAACGTAACGGAAACCTTGGAAATCGTACAGATGTTTCTAAAGGAAGTCACCGATATAAAGGAGGCGCGCATTGACGAAGTTTTTGCGCAAATTGCCAAGACGTTTTTAACTTTCCTTCCCCCAGAACCGATATTCCCGAATGAGTTGCTGCAAATCTGTCTATCGTATAAAATTCAAAAAGGTAATATCTCTTCTTTTCAATTTAATTTAGACCATTTAATTAGTGGCGGAAATACGCTTGAAGCTGTATACAGTCGAGAAAGCTGCAATATCGCTAGTTAATAAATTTGCCGATACACTGTCAGACCCAGAAATACAAGCTGAGAAGTACAACTGGTTGGATACGACAAAGCCCCTTAATGCATCCTCTTCTACGTCAAAGTTAGCATCGGATGCAGGTACTAAAGATTTTCAATAACGTCCATGCGATTTTGGTACAATCGTTATATTGCAGCTTTTAAGGAGATTGACCCCAAAAGTTTGTCAGACATCCACCTTTTTCACAAAGATTGCCTGGATCTTTTTGAATACTTTAATGGTAAAACCGTCGACTGTCTAGTGAGAGCAACGAAATTATCCTTGGACCTTTTAAGACAAAGGGTGAAACCGGTTAGGTACGTAGCTTACTGCCTATGTTCAATCAGTTCAATGGTTCCATTAGCTTTATGGATGACCACGCAACTCCCACCCCAATATTGCTGACCAGAATGCAATTACGCATTCCCCTCGCGGTTATCAATCCAACTCTTGACGAAATCGAGTTGCATTTCGGCAAAATTGTTAACGCCATCTTAGAGATTTC